CAGCTGAATCCAGCTGCACAGAGCCAGTGACACAACCACCTTCCACACAAAGGTCCCACCTCTAGCTTAGGCTGTCCCTTAGCCACACAACTATTACTTGACCTCCTTTCACCTTCATAGGCTTCTCCTCTTGGACACTGCCAGAGCTGTGACACGCAGCTAAACGAGGTCCTAGTCTGACCTGGGATGACTAGGCTCACGTCTTTGTGCACGGCACAGCTATGCCCACCTCTGTACTTTCTCCATATTGCCTTTGTTTCTGGCTCAGAGAGATTTCACTGCACCGGCAGGTTTCAGGCACTGCAGGACACAGGTGAGTTGTCCAGCATCCTTTCTGCCCTAGCGCTTTGCTGGCTGCCACTGTTGGCTGAGGTGGCAAAGCCCACAGTGCTTTGCAGGGCTGGCCACCAGGCTCTCAGAGAGAAGCCCTGCAGGTATGTGAGCAGACTGAGTCTGTGGCTTGAATTAATAACTACTTGCCTGTCTGCATAGTAGTGCAGGGTGTGCAGAGCTACCCACTCTGCTTTGGATGAGCTACACAACCACTACACAGCTGCACTCACCCCCCACAAGCCGCTGATTTTTAAAAGACTAAAAGAAGCAACAGCAACCCAATGTGAGACAAACACAGCACCCACTGGTGAGCCCAGAAAGCAGCAGTGAATGGCTTCCGGTTAATGAGCAAGCCAGCCCACTCTGATCGCTGGGCTATGAATTCCCTAACTGGGTTGGTGAGTGACCTGTAACACAAGCACAGAGATCACCCCTGAGAAAAAGGTTATGGTAATGTTACAGCCTTGTGCAAGCTGGCAGCCTTGGAGGCATGGCAGGCCCTTGGAGAGGAGAGCTAATCTCTCTCTGCCATAACATGCTAATGATGAGTGCTCCAAGGCTCTCCTAACCGTTCCTCTGCCTGTGCAGGTTTGTTTCTAAAACTACAGCTACATACAGCCACACCCTGCTATCTGTCAGGGATGCATTCCTGAAAAGCACAATGGTTAGTTGTACAACAGATAGCAAAACACAAAAGAGATTTACAGTGGGCATTCAGTCTCACAGAGGAAGCAGGCAAGATCTTTTGGACTCCCAAAGGTCCTGCTTCTGCACTGTGTACACTGTCTCTGTGTATTTGTCAGTTAAGGCTCTGTATACATCCTGTATCGCATTAATTCTTACAGGGAAAAATTGCTTTGCTGTCTGTCAACTCAGCTGCTTCATCCGTGCAACTCAGACAACTCCACAGTATGACAATACATGAACAACAACAGCACTCCAAAATGATAGCTACAGAAGTGGTGGACAGCAGAGTGCGCATGTAGCAAAGAGCTTCTTTGCTAACACTTAACCATTCAGATCAAATATGTACACAAACCTACACAGGTAAAACACTTGGAATAACCTCCATGAATGTTATAAAAAGAACATTGCCACAGATGGGACCAAAACAGGGTCAAACATTAGCTTTTATGTGCAGTTACTATGAGGGGAGAAGGCAGCCAAAGGTAATAGATGAAGGTAAAGACAGTAAAAGGTAATATCTAGACAAATGTTGGGGACATGTAGAGGGGGTTGTTTGAGCCCTTGCTTTGAGCTGAACACAGCTTTCAGAAAACAATCCTGGGAAAGACCGACATCTACCAATAACTGACTATTGCTTTCCCCTTCTTTCTCCCAGATGCTTTTCCTCCTATGCTCCTCCCCAGCCACCGGCGTTGTCGTGTTACCTGCACAGATTGCAATCACTATGTTTGCTGCAGCCTGCAAAGCCACCCCTCTACTTCCCCAGCAGGACCCCTCCTCCCTCCCTGCTATATTTTAGCTAACCTCTTGTAGTCTGCAAATAAATTAAAGGCAGAAATGAGTTGCTGTGGAACTGGCCTGGCTAACTTTAGCTGTGGCATCACTAGCCTCCTGCCTCATCGTCCCTGGGCTAACACAGCGAGTTATTCTCACATGAAGCTCAGAGCATGCTGGCTAAGGGCTCTACCAGATGAGTCAGGAAGAACTCCCGTATGGCTGAGCTGCCTTGGCATAGAGGAATGTTTTCTCTTATTCATTCTATAAGGCAAATCCTTTTCCAAGAACAACCAAAATTTTTTAAAAATGTCCTCTGCAAGTAACAAGCCTGCTCTCCCCAACTCAGGCTCTCAAAACACATTATCGCATAAGCTCCCTCGCCCCTACAAATATTCAGCTAAGCTAATACAAAACAGCTGTTAAAGGTCTCCAGAGGGAGACCATCTCATACCTTGAGGCCAGACCACATATACCTAACCCGTTCCTGACAGACATCTGTCTGCCTCTTAAAATACCACTGGAGCTAGAAGCTCTGCAGTCTTCTCATACAATCCACCCACTACCCACTCTGTAAGAGAGCTTATTATAATGTCTAGCTCTCCCCGCCTACAGCTGAGTCCCAAGACTACACATGGGATCTCACTACCAGCATGGAGAACACTCTGAAATAAGCACAACGTTACTATTACAAACGCTCTGTTTTGTACTAATGGTGTCTCGTTATTTACAATCAAGCACAGGGGAACTCTATCAAAACCAGACATTATAATTTTGTTTGCTATGCAACTGGGTGATGCTAATGTGCTTGCTTTCTTCATTCTCAAGGTGAAAGGAGAACAGGGTTAAGTTAAAAGAATTAAGTTCCACCAAAAATCAAGACACCGGAAAGACAAAATGACACTTGGTACCTTGCAAGCATTTCTGTATTTCACAGGCTTGTTTCTGGCAGGGATCCTTCTGGGACATGTTCAGAGAACTAAAATGATAGGAAAATGTTACTGTAGAAACAACGTGCTTTTCAGAGGGCGGGGGGGGGGCAAGATACTGTCTTAAAGCCAAGGCTTTAAAGAGCTCCCAATTTCCCTCTCTGTCACAGACAGTTCAGAAAACATCTATTGCTGCTTGCAGATGCCTGCCAACATACACAAGAATTCTCTGTGTCTGGCTAAAGGATGATAATGTGGACAATGAATACGGGAAGTTTTATGTTGCTAGGCTTGAAGGCCTTTTTCTTTTCTCTGGTCAAAATGTGTTCTTTTCTACTTGGATGCACAAAGATTCCAGCAAAGATTCAAATTAACATGTCTGACTAATTTTTAACAGTTCTGTGCCTCTAGACCTTATACTAAAACATGTATTTATGTAAAAGACCTCTCTGTGAGCTCTACACAACCAAGGATTTGGTGTTAGTCATATAACTGCAGCTGGAGGAGGCATTTAAAAAAACAACCAAACAAAACAACTTAGTTGTGTATGTCCTATAAAGACAACACGGAGAGCTTTTTGTTTTGTTTTGTTCCAGGAAAAAGTCTCTTGGAAATCCGCCTCCCCCCCCCCCCCGCAAACCAGACTGGAGGACAGCTCCATCTTGTTCAAAACCCTAGAAAGCAGGATTTCAGACACTCAATTTGACTTTCTGCAGCTGTGACACCTGTAACTGTGATCTTCCATGAGAGATCAAAAGACAAGCAAAAACCGGTGGTACTAGTAGTTGGATGGGAGACCTCTACAGGAAAGCACCGCTGTTACCGAAAGCAGTGGTGGGACTTCCGCTCTCTCTGAGCCACAGTTCAGCTCCTGCCCCTGCCCAAAGCTAGGGAGGTGCTGGCTTTCAAATTTCTGATAATTCACCAGCCCACAGCACTTTTCAATATCGCTAGGGCATTATTTCCAGCATCCTGGCCAAACTCCACTTGGGGCAATTATATTCTGCCTACCTAGAACTCCCCCTGACGTTTCACTTGGACACAATACTCCTCTTCACTGCCTGTCCTAAACTCTTGTGTGATGTTGCTGTGTGTTGTTTAACTGCTTCCACCTCAGAGGTGGCTGCATTTCAGTGGAGAGAGAATCATTTATTGTACAAAATATACAACGACATCTTCCTAGAGCCACTGCTCCTGAAAGACAAAAATTCATATTAAAGAATGACTGGGAATAAACAGAGCACAGTACAAAGCAGGGGTAATGTCTACACATACCAGATTAATCACCAGGCACGAGTTTAAGCAGCAGTTCTTCAACACCACCAAGCTGTAAGCGACAAGGAAAAGTTCAATACGTCTACAGTTACTGTGGCTGAGCTAATGGACTTCAACAAAATAACAGTCCTTTGCCGTCCCTCAAGGATCTCAAATGACTTCACAAACAGGCATGACTATGGTCTATTGTTGCCACCATCCTTACCATGAGATGGTGCTCTATCTCCCAAACGCGAGAGTTACTATCCCTGTACTGCTCACCCTGGGACAGCTGCCACATATGAGGCAGCCGGGATGGGGGGAGCTGGCTGGGTCGCAGCGCCTCACCCAGGGGAACCTGAACTCTTTGGATCCGAGCCCTCAGCATACCTTCCTCCTGGGGGAAAGTAACAAAAAGAGCAGGCAGTTACTGGCAATACAGTAGAGGCACCTGCAATAGCAAAGCTACAATCACTGGGAAGCTCAAAGGACACTTGCCTCTTCCGCAGCCACAAGCCACGTTTTGCGGTGCTCATCGCAGTAAACACCTACGCGTCGCACCCACAGTCGGACAGGAGGAGCGCCAGCGTGCCCTCCTTCTGCCATTCCCTCAGTCACTTCAGGATGCTCCCGTTAGGTGGATGGCATCAACCCGCAGGATGCACGCATGGTCTCTTTAGCTCTGAATACATTCACGGAGAAAGCTCTCAGACCTGAAAGGCACCTCTGAGTGGCGTCTGACTTATTGTATGAGATGCTATGTGCTGAAATGTCCCTAAAAGTCAGCTTGGGAAACTAAGGCGGTGCCTAAGTGAACAGAAATTTCATAACAAGTTGTACACTGGGACATGCATGCTGTATGGCGTTTGTAAGGCATTCTGGGGCAAAAAGTGCTATTGGTACAAAGTTAAACCCTGTGAATATTGGCTTTGCTTATTCCACTAACAGTCCTATTAACAGTCTTTGTGTAAAATAGGGGAAAAAAAAAAAGAAAAAGAAAAAAGTGATTTACACAGGAGTTCCGTGGCTAATGATGGTCTAAATCCCAAAAGCAAAACTTGTGACAAGAGGTGAAATTAGCTTAACAAGAACGAAGATCACTCTGGAGACAAAACATGAAACTCCGTATGCACGACTCTCATATTTGGAACTTGCAGAGCTGTCATTGTGAAGGGTCCTTCGTCTCATCTCTCAAGAGGATGGCAGCATTGTCCATTCATACACAAGCTTCTCGTGAAAGCTCTCGTGACTTTGCGTAGTTCGGCTTTTAGATGGTTACAGAGAGCCACCGATACCAGCAGGGGCAAAGGAATTTTGGACATTGAGGTGGTTCTTCCTACCGGAATTTTTGTTTAACAGCAAGTTTATCTGTATACCAGTTAGATCAAGCTGAGCCATTAGCAAATGAAGGTCAGGGGAAATGATTCTCTCTTTGAACCCTAGAAGAGGTAATCAAAATGGTACAGACAGTCTTCATTCTTTATCTAGGTTTAAAGTAGAACAGAATTAAACTGTAATACATATAACATCCTCCTGCTATGAAGCAGATGCAATATTCCTATCCCAGTGAAACACAGTGGTCTTCTGAAAACTTGTAAAGTTATAAGGCACATTTCAGACAGGAGCAAGAAAATCTGGGTACA